AAATAAAACAATCGAAGAAAATATATTACGCATTAAGTTTTGAATACTGAGCGTTGTGAAAAAATTCAATAAAGTCTTCATTACAAGTGGTAACAAAAACCTATAAGAAAAATTCCATACAACAAACTTTTTCAGTTTAATGTTGCTTGACGGGAAGGGGAGCGAATATTTGGAGAAGCAAAATAGTTGTTAAGTTTTAAGAATTCTAGATTGTGAAGATACAGCTACAAACTGTTGAGAAAATGACACACTGTGGGACAGTTCCACTTTTGCATCGCTTATGAGAAAACAACGCAGAAAGACTTGTGATATTGTTTTATTGGTCACAAATCTCTTTATCGTCCCCAAGAAGAAAAAATGTTTTGATTTTAATGACCGATTGAAGGTCTCAAAGTGAAGAAAAACGTTGAATTTACTTTCAGTCTTTTATTTTCCTGTAAAAGTAAAAGCATTCTATCGAAAACGGTAGTCAAGGTTAAAGAAAAGTATAAAAAGTAAAGATTTCTGAAGCGGCACTTTGGAATAAAAGTTAGTGTAATTTTGCTTATTTTAAAGTGTAGAGATAAAAAGCCAGGTTGTCTAAAGAATATTGCTCTTTGCGATGAGTTATCCTATCGGTAATTTACGAAAACTAAACTAAGAAAAATTTTTGAATACTGTTTTTTAAATGGTAAATCATTTTTTTTGCTAAGAGAAAAATTTCTGATTTTCTTAGTGTATCAAAAGTTCTAAAAACAGAAGCAATGTCCATAAATTTTAAAAAGCAGTAGTGTCCTTTATAAAAGTGTTAATATTAGTAGGAAACACCGACCAACTTTTGATATGAGATATTAAACCGAATAAAAATTATTTGCCGCATAATTTCACCTCAAAACTTAAGTAGGTCTCTCAAATTCATCGATGCACAAGGCTTGAAAATTTTTTAATTTCAAACTGTTGAGATGCAGCTTTGAATTTTGAGGAACGTACCAACCTCTGCAAAAATTTCTCTTCTCTACTGCTCACGCGAGTTGAATGCAGAGAAGCCTGCGGATTGTTATCCCAGTAATAAATAATTTCTGATTTCTGTATTTAATTAGAGAAACAAAGAAGTATCAAGGCTTCATTGACATAATAGTACTAATCAAAGAAAAATAACGTATTATAAATTTAGAGCAGTTCAGCATTTTGATATGGTGATATAAAGCCCGTATTCTAACTAGCTGTTAAAACTGGGAAGAAAATAGCATCCGGTTACGAAAAATAACTGCGGAAGCATTGCAAGAAAACCTGTAGATATTGTTTCCACGATAGTAAGTGACATATAACGTTACCACCCCTTTTAGCAGGAGTAAAGGATTTCTTTGATCTTACTAATGCATTAGAAATTGTAAAAAGAGCAACAAATTGAGTTAACTTTTGAACATTCGGGTGTCATATGTAAACCAGAATTTTAGCTCAGAGAAACAATAAAAATACAAAAAAAATTATTTAAAACTAAAATCCTGCATTTGATAGACTTGGATTTATACCAAAACGAAGCTCCCATATCTGCGAATAAGCATTATTTAAGAATTTTTTTCAAATTTTACGCTTTGAGGGTACAGGTCCTAATAGTGCGAGGCTCATTGAACTTTGTAAAAATTCTGTTTTCAAAACTTCGTTGCTCAAGAAGTGCAGAAAAACCTGCAAAATTTGCTGTCGTAACTAGTTTTACTTTAAAGTTTTTCATTAATTTTGGAATAAAAGAACTGAAGACTCTAAGAGAAAAGAGAAATACGTTAAAGTATATATATATATATATATATATATAT